AGGCAAATCCTGTCTTCCCACCTCAATTCCATAGGCAAGAGTGTTTTGAGCCTCCTCAACAGTTTTCAACTGCTGAGCGTGACTTTCCCAGTCCCTAAATCCCCCCCATCAACCACAGCATCACCCAGCACATAGCTCACAGCACTCATCCCCACAGCAGGACCCCATCCAGCACCACCCCAAGCCCCCTGGCATGCCCAGACTCAGGCTGGGTCTCAACCCACCAGCCCAAGTCTCACTCACCACTGGGTCCTGGATTGCCACGGTGTTGTTCCCATGGGAAAAGCAGTCCCAGGGGTGCTCCCTGGGAGGCTGTGAGCACACATGTGGGTGAGCAGCACCCAAGGCCCCTCTCTTGCCAACGCATTGTATTTAAAGTGTGGGAGAAATTGCTGCTAATGGGGCAATCCATTTTCCTCCCAGCACCAGAGGCAGGTTTGCTCCAAGCCAAGCCCAAGGGCAGGGCCAAGGGAAAGCACTGGGAGCATTTACCCAGGCACAGAGCAAGGGATCCTCTCTGCTAAAATCTGCTTCTTCACAGCATGGTGGCTGCCCGGAGTCTCCCCACATCCCTAAGGATGTAAATGGGATTCATGGTGTGTAGGCTGCAAAACCAATGCAGAGCCAATGCTGCCTGGCAGAGCCATGGTGTAGCTGCTCCACCAATGTGTATTCACTGCTGTAAATACAGAATGAACTCAGAACCAGCCCCGTGTGTTGGCTGGGGAGCTCTGGGTACGGAGCAGGGATTGATCACCATGTGGTAGGATGCTATGGGCTAATTCAAGCAGCAACCCCCCCATGCAAGGGTAAGCAAGGAGCCATCCCCATCCAGGATGCTGGAACAAGCAGCTGAAGATAAGACTGCATAAGTTAGACCCCAAAAGAGAAAGCAGCATGGCCAGGCTGGGGAAGGAGCAACCATGACTTTATCTCATACACACAGAGCCACCAGCGTTCTCCCCCATTGGGGCAGGCCTGGAAATAGCCACCAGCAAATGAAACCCAACCCAGGGCTCTGACAGCAGCTCCACTCTAATCCCAGTGCCCATGAGCCTGGAAGTGACCGCCATCCCCTCTGCATCCCCTAGGGATGTGGGCCAGGGCCTCAAGAGCCTGTTGGTGGTGATGGTGCCAACAGACACAGAGGGACAGATGGTTCCCAAGCACCGGGCATCCCCAAACACCCCTGGTGCAGCAGCCAGCAAATGAAGTGCTGCAAAAGCCCTTGAGATAAATAGGTATTTATCACAAACCAGCCTGGTTTGGGTTGGAGGGACCTTAAAGCTCATCCAGTTCCAGGCAGGGACACCTTCCACTAGAGCAGCTTGCTCCAAGTCCCTGTGTCCAACCTGGCCTTGAACACTGCCAGGGATGGGGCAGCCACAGCTCCTCTGGGCACCCTGTGCCAGCGCCTCAGCACCCTCACAGGAAGATCCCCAATGTCCCCCTAAAGCTGATCCCACCCCCCAGTGGGACCCCCTCTCCTCCAGCCACAGCTCTTTCAGTGCTGGCTGCCCAAACCCTGCCCAGGGGAGCGCAGCCCAGCGCAGCCCTGAGCTCCAGCACCACAGACCCATCCCTCACAACACAGCCAGGGGATGCCCTGCGCACCCTCCCCGCTCCGGGCTTTGCTGTACAGGCACACGAAGCCACCCTGCCCCAGGAAAACAAGGAATAAAATAGCTGGGAGGCACGGGGAAGCCCTCAGCCAGTTTTAATACCTGGTGGTGCCCAGGGCACGGCTTGGCTCTTTAACCCTTGTAGGAGGCTGCAAGTGCGAAGCTTAGGGTTAAAAGCCGGGACCTGGGAATCACTCCTCCTTCCCAGGGCTGCCCAGAGGAAAGGGTCCTGCTCATGTAATGGCTCCAGGCATAGGGCAAGGCAGCCGGGGGTCAGGTTTCTGTCCCAGCGTAAAAATAGAGGTGAGGAAAGGGAATCTGCTGAGCAATGGGACAGCAGGGCCGTGGGGAGCTCAGCCAGGGCAGCCCCTTCCCCAGCAGGAGAGGACAGGGACCCCAAGGGGAACCCGGGCAGCTCCTCATCCACCCTGGCTGGCATCGATCCCACTGAGGAGCTGGGTCTTTCTGCCCTGATCAGAGCCATGATCCTGGTCACGGGTGGGTGGCCACAGCCCCCTGCAGCCCCCGCGATGCTCTCCGGCACATCCATGGTGGAACTGGCTCAGGCTGCCCCAGGAGGAGCAAATGGAACCCTAATGCAGGGCTGGAGCTGGGCTTTACCCCCAGCCTGCGCCTGACATCACCCAGTCCCTGCTGGGGTGGCTGTGAGGGGCTCAGCCCACCCCTGGTGCCCCAGGAAGGGCCCAGCCCTGTGCTCCAGCAGTGAGGGCTCATTGAGCTCCTGAGAAAGCCCAGACAAGCCTGGGGAGGAAAGATGAATTATGATGGGCAAACAATGCCCCATTGTGGGGCACTGCCACAGCCCCAGCCTGTGCCAGGGCTGCACCCACCCTGGGGAGAACCAGCCCTGGCCAGGATGGTCCAGACCTGGGTCAGTGATGCAGGACTGGGTTGGTGATGCGGGACCACCACTAGCCCCATCCTGGCTCCAGCTACAGCATGAGCACTGCATTGAATCACAGCCCTTCTGCTCTGCAAATCCAGTGCAGCCCCCCCAAAAATCCCCATGGTGCTGGGCTGGTGAAAACACTGGCTGGGGGCCACTGTCCTCACCTTCCAAGTTTAGGGCTCCCTGATAGCCTTTTTGCCTCCCAATTCTGCCGACACAGATTGAAAAGGGGAGCCCAAACCTGCCAGCAGTGGTCCCCATGGTGAGCAGAGGCTTGTGGCTGGTGTCCAGGTCTAACATCCAGGTGAACCATCCTTTGGAACCATAGAACCCAGACTGGTTGGGTTGGAAGGGACCTTAAAGCTCCTCCAGCTCCAGCTCCTGCCACGGGCAGGGACCCCTTCCACTGGAGCAGCTTGCTCCAAGCCCCTGTGTCCAACCTGGCCTTGAACACTGCCAGGGATGGGGCAGCCACAGCTTCTCTGGGCACCCTGTGCCAGCGCCTCAGCACCCTCACAGGGAAGAGCTTCTGCCTTAGATCTAACCTGAACTCCCCGTGTTTCAGTTTAAACCCATCGCCCCTTGTCCTATCACTACAGTCCCCGATGAAGAGTGCATGAGCTGGTGTCTGTATGTCCGTTTATTTAAGTTCAGATCAATAAAATGCTTCAGTGTATGTTTAATTTTGGGGCAGTCACGGAAGATAAATGTATATAAGCCCCAGTGTGTCCAAAGGGAGGGTAGGTCACCCAAGCAGCACCTAGAAGACATGGACACACCTCTGAAGCCACCCTCCCTGCTGAAAACACACATACCCTCTGCTCTCCTCCTTCTCCATCCTCACAGCCGGCCCCAAAAGGGTTACTAGCACAAAGCAAAGAGCCCTTTTGACGATGGGGTCCAGTCCCATCAGCCAGGCTGCCTGCAGCCCCACTGCGCCCATGTCCCACCCAGCACCCAAGTGGCAGCAATGCCCACCCTGAGCCCCAACCCATGGTCCTTCAGCATCACCATGGGCTTGCTTGAGAGCAGCAGCAGGAGGACTAGAGCGACGTCCTGGGGGTTTAGCTCTTCTTCCACTCCCTGCATCTATTCTTTGCTGTGAAATATTAATGGCTCATGATTCATCAGCACCAAGAAGGAGATTACAGACACGTGTGTGCATTCGTGTGGCTCTCTGGTACACACACACGAGCGTGTATATGCAGATACATATTCAGAGGTGCTTCTAAGCTGCCAGCACCATTTTTAAGGCAGTTTTGGGGATATATTGCACATTTATCCCCATTCTGGTGCTGGCATCTCATCAGGCACAAGCCAGGAGCGAGCTCAGCATCCCTGTGCTGGGCTCAGCAGGGGCTCTGTGCTGCTGCTGGCATTTCAATCAGCCACCCTGTCCCTGGAGTGCTGGAGCCCAGTTACACACCAGTGGCAACCAGTTATGCCCCAGACTGGTGGAGCCCTCCAGATTTACACCAGAGGAATCACCAGCAGGGTTTATCCCCCTGTTTATTGCATATATGCAAGAGATCACGGCGCTGACACAGCCAGCAGCCCATTTACCCTGCAAGGGAGCCAGAGGTGTAACAAAGTCCCTGGCATGGCATCAAGTGGTGGCTCTTTATCCCCAAATCTGTTTTCTCTTCTCTGGGAGATCCAGGCCCTATCACAGCACCCCCCTTCCATCTTTCCCAGGAAAACCGCCCTGGCCAGCCCCATCACCACTCGCCGCTCGGAATGTGCCTGGTCTAATTGCTTACCAGCTCCTGCAGGCTTTGAAAGATGAAAAGCCCTCGACAGGAGAAGCATTGAGTGTTCATGGTTTATTAATGGTGAGCCATCATTATTTCACCTCTCAAGCACTTGGGAGATAGCGAGGAGGGAAGAAGAGGGGAGAAGCAACACGACCCCTCCATCGCCTGCCATCGGGTCCCACCCGCATCAGCCCCACAGGCGAACACGCCGCTGCTTTCCACCGGGCTGTTTTGCAGATTGATGGTGCCCCCCCCCCCAGTAAAACAGCATGGGAGAAGCAAACAAAGCAAGCAGCAGATGTGAAGAGCCTCCAGTGCTTCATCACCAGGCTCAGCCATCCCCGCAGGGGCCTGGCTGGGGAGGAGCATCCCCTTTAGAACCCACCCAAGCCCCAGCCCCTCCACTGAGAGCCATGCAGAGATTTATCTGCTGCTGGTCCTATCATTTGCCCAATTCCCATGTTTTTGGCTGCCGCATCTCCCTGCAGCTCCCATCCAAATGTTCACAGTGATTTATCATTCCCAAAGGGTTCAGCTGTGAGCTGACATGGTGGGAGATAGGAAAAGGGGGATTCAGCAGTGCTTGTGTTTGCCCCCTGAGCATCACTGGACCAAGATGCTCCCAAAGCTCCGATAGAGGGGGAGTGGTCCAGAGCCCTCCATAGACAAATAGTCCCACCCCATCCCTGCGATGCCGCTGTGGAGCAAGGAGAGGGCAGGAGCAGCCGTCGGCGCGGGGACGCGGAGCAGCACAGGGGTGCAATGGTTTTGCAAAGGTGCTTTTTGGGTTCGGTTTTGGTTGTTTTTTATTATTGGCATAAATAATTCATACACTGTCACCTCACCAAACACTGCACGAGAAACCACGGGAACAAATGGCTATCCATTTCTGCAGGTCACAGAGAGTCGCACTCAGTCAGACAGCTGAAATTATAAAGACTTTCTTCAAGTGTAGAAAACGTTATAAATGTTACTGTACAAATTTACATCGGGGAGATCCATCGTGCCTTTCTCAGCCATTTCCCTTGTCGGTTTGTGGGGTGATATTTTCTCTGCCGTTGTTGGGTTTTTTTTTGCACCAGATTCAACTGTTCTGTTCCAGTGACGAGAGTTTTGCAACGACGACAACAAAATAGATATATATATTTATGTATATATTTATAAAAAGAAAAGGGAAAGAGGGAGAAAGGAAATGAGAGTCAGCTCATTCTGCAACGGTCAGAACTAACACGGAGAAAACAAAGCAGGCCATCGAGTTCAGTTGGAAACTGTACAGGAGTTAGAGCTCGTTATATATGTATATATCTATATACATACATATAGAGATATGTATATATATTTATATATACCTTATGTACAAGAAAATGTAACAGCGTACTTTACAGGGGCCAATAGTTAAAGGCGGCTTTTGCAGCTGACCAAGCTTCCCAAAGAGTCACCATTCAAATAAATAAAATCAAATATAAATTAAAATAAATAAATGGTGAAGAAAGGAGGAAGGAAAGAAAAGGTGCCCAGTAGAGCACCGGCTGCTGGAGGGCTCAACCTGGGGCTCCCCATGGCACTTGGGGGTGCAGACAACATCTCATGGCACCTCCACCACAGCCCCCTTCTTAGCATAGCTCAAGAGCAAGCCATAGGCACCAACTCTTCCATAGGATCCAGCAGAGGTTGAGCAGCTCCTCCACCTCCAAGACATTCATTTCTGCCTGTCATCTGTCTTAAAGGTTCATATCTCAGCTCCTGCCATGGTCAGATAAAAGCCATGGGGCTGGATCCTGAGCTCGTCATCCCCAGGAACAGGCTGGTCATGGCTCAGCAAGGGTAATTTGGGGGGCGGGAGTGGATAGATGAAGAAGCAGGACCAGGGGATGTAATTTAGCAGCCGAAGAAGGACATAGTGCTTTGGGGTCATGCAGCACCACCACTTCCATCACTGGTGATGGCCTCACCACCCAGCCCCAAACACAGAGTTCCCCAGGAGCATTGAAATGATGGGGAAATACCCCTCAGGCAGCAGCAAGATAAAGGGGAGCTCAGGGAAGAGCCTCGGAGCATGGCTGGAAGGATGAAGCAGCTGAGAGCTGGAGGACCAGGACAGGAGATCACGACTGTGGGGCTGCTCCACTGCAAGAGCCCGGGGATGCACCTGGGGTTGGGGATGGTTCCCTACGTCTCAAGCTGCTGCTTACAACACCACAGTGCTAAAACCAGCTCAGCTCCCAGCCGGCGCATCTGGAAATAGCCCGTCTCTCCTCTAGCTCACGCAGCTAAGCTGAGCTACCGGATGGACCAGCTCCCTCCTTCGGATCTCCTATTAGAGGGCATTGTGGAGAGCTTCTCCTTTCTCTCCCTGCTGAAGGGCTGGATATTTTTAAACTGGGGAAAAAAAAAAAAAAAAACCCGAAGCTCACAGAGTGGGAGTCAAAAAAAAAAAAAAAACAAAGGAGAAAAAAAACCCACAACAAAAAGTAGGATTCGTTGGGTCGGTTTTGTTGTTTAAAATAATTAAGACTTTCAAAACTAAGGCGGCATGATGCAAATCACACGGCTGCATAAACAACCGCTGCTGCGCTGAATGGAAGGGAAGGAGCTGCTCTTCTCAGCTAATTTATGGTAAGTGCAGGGCAGCTATTTTTCCATCGATACTATTGTGCGACAGCTCTGCTCGTGGCCCTGTGGAGACCCTACACTGAGGGAAGGGGGGGGAAGAGAAGGGAGATGAGGGAAGAGCTGGCGAGATTTACTGGCTGTTGGAGCTCTCAGCTCCTTTCAGATGCCCAAAATCCAGGGAGAAACACTTGGCTGAGGCTGCTGCAGAGAGCCCTGTGCTCCTGGTGGGGACCTGATGGCGTGGGGTGACCAAACCAACATGCCTATCGTTATTCCTGAGTGTTGGCTGATCTGGCATCTGTCAGCTGCTGGTGAGACCCCATGGGGGGATACGTCAAGGTAAGACGCTACAGCAAAGAGAGGGCTTGGGGCACAGGGAGTACACTCACAGTAAGACTTTCAAGACTGATGCTGTGCCTTCCAGTATAGATCTGCACAATGTCTACCAGGCTACAGCACTTTGCCACCCCTGGGGTGGAGCATCACCCATGGTATCACCTCCTTCGTCTTCCCAACACATTCCTCTTGCTCACCTTGGAAGTTCACTTAGAAACTAAAACCACTGAGTGAGGACAGGGCCTTTCTACAGTGATCGCTCCATAAGGATGTGGTTCGGAATCAAGGGTTTCATGGTGAGACCTCCCTGCAACCCCTGGCAGCTGAGAAATCTGGTGATGGGGCATCCTCCCTCCCACAGACCCCAGGACCACTTCAGTGAAGGCATTGGTGAAGCCTCAGAGAGGCTTAGTGCAAGATTTACAGCACATGTGCGCACAGGCACAGAGGATGGAGAGGGTACGAGACAGCAGGAGAGGGTTGGGGTGAGGAGGACAGGCAGAAGAGGGCATCGAGGTGGGATGAAGAACATGGTGTGATTGTGTGTGTTAGAGGGGAAGAGGTGGGATGTGGAGGAGGCAGAGGGTGAGCAGCTATGGAGCATCCTTTGTCATCACTAGAATGAGATGATGCTCAGCCACCTACACTGAGCTCTGCAGCATCACACCCAGAGGACCACAAACCACCCATGCTGCCTGGTGCAGGGAGTCATTAGCACAAATTAACACTCAAATGCTCAAGCCAAGGCCTCATCCTGCCCTCCCTTGCTCATCCCAGCAGCAGCAGAGCCAGGAGCAGGTGATTCCTGCCTCATACCATGCAAAACATCCGAGAGTGAGATGGACCATGTAACCACATGGCACAGCAAATGTCCCAGAAGCAACAGCATCCTCCTGACAGACCCTCTTCCAGCAGGCTTGGAGGCCGGATTCACCCCCTGCTCCTGCCCACCTCAGGTTTGACACAGATGCACGTGTGCAGATTTGAAGCCATAAAAGCACCTTTGTAGATGCCAGCACAATTAAAGCTCCATCTCTTCCTAGCTGCAATTAGGTTTCTAATCTTCATTTACTTATGCTGAAGCGGTTCAAACGCCGGCAAGGGGGAGTTAGAGGAGCAGCAAACAAACCAGGGCTGGTTAGTTTGGAGAGCCTCGCCATGTCTCCAAATTAAAGCTAACTTAGACTCCAATTGAATTACTCAGGATGGTTCCTGTCAAGCAATTACGCACAATAAGGGCCTGAAAATGCAATTTGCTGTCATCTGTCGCTTGACAGCTCATCTAATGGACTCAAGGGCCCATCCGAGCTGACGAGGAGAGGGAAATACCAGCACACAGCATTCAGATGGCAACACCAGCTCCGAGGTGTTGCCCAAAGAGCATTTTCTTTTGGGACATCCAGGATTTGGCTGATGGAAGATGAATATGCAGGGAAAACGGTCCTGGGGATGGCTGCTCATTCAGCTGAGATGTCTGTGGGGTGGAAAGGGAGATGCTCTGCACCACCAGAGCCTGTCTGCATCCCTGGCTCCACCAGTGAGTCCGGGGACAGCAGTGGGAGAGGGGAAGGACCCCAGCTCCAGCTGCGCCCGCTCTGCCCTGCTCCAGAGCATCCCCAAACCCAGGGCTTCAGCAGCATCTTCGGGAGTGAGGGTGGAAACCAGGAGCAAAGCGGTGCCAGGGAGGAAGAGAGGGAATGGCTCAGTGATGAGATATGCACTGGGGCAAGCAGCTAAACTAACAGGAACGTGGAGGAGCGCCCTGCCAAGAGGGAGACCCAGGGGGGAACATAAGTGGTCATGGCCGGGAGGTAGAGAAGCCACTTGTGAAAGGTCACCACTGCCCATGAAGGGGCTGCAGAGGCGTTGGGGAGCAGGACTCCTCCAGCTCTAGCTCTGCAGATGCATTTCCCCACGGGGGGCAGCTAATAGCAGCAGCACTCCCGGACCCCAGCAGGCTCCGGCTCTGAACTCATGAATCAGCAACATTTCCCCCTTTCTTTTTCATCAAAAATAATAATAATGATAAAGAAAATGAAACGAACCCACCGAGAACCAAGCAGCGACCCCTCCCCAACCGAGCATCGTGAGCACTGACCATGCTGATTGGGATCAGAGGAGCCCTGGGGTTAAATTGAAGCCGTCTGCCTCGAGGGTTGTCCCTGCTTGGCAGGGAACCGCCCCGAGCCCCGACCTCATGTGCACGGAGAGCCACCCGCTGTCCCCATCCCATCGCAGCCGGGCCTCGGCCACCGGCTCGGCTCCTCCAGCCCTTGCGGAGAGGCTCCACGGGATGGAATGCTGCAGGGGAAGAGGCTCATTCCCATCCTGCTGTTGGCCTGCGGCACTCGCTGCTCCTCTGTAGCACAGGGTGGGAAGTGGAGAGGAAGAGGAGAACCACAGGGGGAGGAAGGCACCGTCCCTTAACTCCTCCTGTCACAGCCTGGAAGGGAACAACGCAGCAGAGTCAGCACTGGGTGCTTCATCCCACAACACTGGGTTCTTCATCCCACAACACTGGGTGCTCATCCCACAACACTGGGTTCTTCATCCCACAACACTGGGTGCTCATCCCACAACACTGGGTTCTTCATCCCACAACACTGGGTTCTTCATCCCACAACACTGGGTTCTTCATCCCACAACACTGGGTGCTCATCCCACAACACTGGGTGCTCATCCCACAACACTGGGTGCTTCATCCCACAACACTGGGTGCTCATCCCACAACACTGGGTTCTTCATCCCACAACACTGGGTGCTCATCCCACAACACTGGGTTCTTCATCCCACAACACTGGGTGCTCATCCCACAACACTGGGTGCTCATCCCACAACACTGGGTTCTTCATCCCACAACACTGGGTGCTTCATCCCACAACACTGGGTTCTGGCAGGGCAGCTCATTGCAACAAACCTCCCCAAAGGGGTTTGACATGGGGATAGCCCTGAATGCAGCGGCACCATGGGATGCTGTCATTCCTGCATATCCCCACAAGCCCGGGCTGGGGTTTCCTGGTGCAAGCAGCTCCCAGGTTCAGTATAATCTGGAGGAACAAGGGCTTGTTGGGTACCACACACCTCACCCGCATCCCTGCGCATCCCTGCTCTCCAAGCAACAGGATGCCTGAGGGGCTTTTTCCCCCCATCCCCTTCATGCAGGGATGGCAGAGCCCCCGGGTACCACAGCCAGCTCATCCCTGTGCCAGCCAGGACTCCATGAGGAAGCCGGGACATAACATGGGAGCAGTGTCTGAAGCAGCTGAGGAAGGAGGCAGCTCCGTGCTGAACTGAAGCATCCTCCCTCCCCAGGGGACTGGTAATGAAGGAGAAGCTGCCGGGCAGCCACAGCCCATGGCAGGCAGAGCATGGCAAAACCCCTCCCAAGCCCAACGAGGCAGTTACACAGCCTGCTGCTTGGGGGTTCAGCATCCTTCAGTGTTCCTTGCCCAGCTCCCTGAGCTGCCCCAGTGCCTGCTCGGAGCACAGCTTGGTAATTAACTTCCCTGCTAATTAACAGCTTCCTTTCAGGGTGATTCGGGCTCCATCTGACTGGGGGCTTTGTGCTGTTCCCGGGAGCACATGGGGATGGGAGGTGGCATCAGTACCCATAACCTCAGGGCCATCCGCGCTTGGCGCACAGATAACGAAGCCGGAGATCGGTTATCAGATGTGGGAGGAGAAATCAGCACCTCCAACCTTCGGTGAGGTCCAAGAGGGATGCTCTGAGCAATTGAAAGCACTCTCACTTCTCTCCCTCAGCTCACCTTTGCCTCCCTCCATCCCCATTTCCAGCCTCCATGATCAGAGGGATGCACGTCAGGAGAAGGAAATATCCCCCTGTGAACGCAACCCCTGCACGGATCGGGCTTTGGCTCCTATTTGTCACAATATGATGAATTCAAGGGAAGAAAATGAGTTTTTAAGTGATTCTGCTGCATTTTGCCTGCTGTTACCAACAAACCAGATCCTGAAACCCTGACTGGGGACCCATTTACGCAGCGCTTGCTGAAGCAGAGAGAAGTGACTAAGGCAAAGCAATGAAACAGAGCAGGACGTGGCCATGAGCTGTCTGGAGGAGAAGAGACCATTCCCACCACTGGAAGCTGCAACTGCTGAGCAGGGCCCCCCCCCAACACTGGTTAAATTTGGGCAAAAGAAAGAAAAAACACCTTCCCTGGCAGGAAAGCTGCTCTGAGCTTAGTGAATAGGTAGGCAATGGAGCCTACGATATCCCCAGTGGAGATGTCCCCATGCCTCCCTTTGGACCTATCCTGCTTCTTCCTCTGGTGCTGGTGGAGCACATTGCCAGGCTCCTCCTGATCATCTCCAACTACTTCCACAGGCTTTGTCACCCCAACAAAGGACAGCCAGTACGGCAGTGAGAGCAAGCACAGGCACAGCACTCTGTGACCACTCTTCCTACCCATCCTTGCCTCTCCGCATGCCATCAATGTACCTGCAGCTTACCCCTGTCACCAGCACCACCAATTCAGGCTGTAATAGTGGGGGCTTGAAGAGTACAGGCAGAGCTGCCTGATGGCACACGGAAGGGCAAGCAGGGACAGGGACTTACTCTGCTGACTTCCAGAAGTGCCCGGGGTGGGAAAGGCGACGGTTGCGCTTTGGCAGTTTCTCCAGCATGTCCATGAGTTTGGTGAACGTGGGTCTCTCCTCTTGGTCGTAGGCCCAGCAGAAGAGAAGGATGTCCTGCAGGCACACAGGGCGAGAACCTGAGCAAACCTAAGCCAGTGCCTCTCCATCACCACCCCTGTGCCCAGCATCCACTCTGTGAGGACCCCATCTCCATCTCTGCATCCTTGCAAAGGGCTGGGGTGGAGGGGATGCGTCCATCCCATGTGAACCCCATCTCCATCACTGCATCCTTGCAAAGGGCTGGGGTGGAGGGGATGCATCCATCCCATGTGAACCCTGTCTCCATCTCTGCACCCTTGCGAAGGGCTGGGGTGGAGGGGATGCATCCATCCCATGTGAACCCCATCTCCATCACTGCATCCTTGTGAAGGGCTGGGGTGAAGGGGATGCATCCATCCCATGTGAACCCCATCTCCATCACTGCATCCTTGTGAAGGGCTGGGGTGAAGGGGATGCATCCATCCCATGTGAACCCCATCTCCATCACTGCATCCTTGTGAAGGGCTGGGGTGAAGGGGATGCATCCATCCCATGTGAACCCCATCTCCATCACTGCATCCTTGTGAAGGGCTGGGGTGAAGGGGATGCATCCATCCCATGTGAACCCCATCTCCATCACCCCATCCTTGTGAAGGGCTGGGGTGGAGGGGATGCATCCATCCCATGTGAACCCCATCTCCATCACTCCATCCTTGTGAAGGGCTGGGGTGGAGAGAACGTGCAAGCTGAGCTGATGCTTGTGCCAGTAGCAGGACTCAGCCTCACCAGCAGCAAGGGCAGGGATGCAGCCCTTCCTTTTGTGCTTGCAGATTTTGGGCAGCAGAGAGTGGTTTTCAAAGGGACCCTCCACCCATAGGTCAAGATCCCATTCCTCCTCCATGCACACAGCAGGATCCAGTGCCTGCCCCACGCCACGTACCGAGATCTCCTTGCCCATCCCGATCTGGCTGAGGTTGGGCTTCATCCCACTTCCCACTTGCCAGATTATTGCCTCTGCTGGCTGCGTCTTGAAGGGCCATTCCCGTGCGTGCAGCTCGTACCAGATCGTGCTGTTGGGAGGCAGAAGGGATTAGGGATGAGAGGAGCCGGGAGGCATCCAGGGGCCGCATCTGGCCAATGCTCCACATCAGCAGCCTCTCCCTGCTGCAAAATCATCCCCATCCAGATGTTTCATCCTAGATATGACATCAGAAGTGCTCAGCCATCAGGAGGATGCTGTGGGCAGGAGGATGATGGATGCACGGGCAAAGGCACCAGCCAAGCTGCTACATCAAGTGGGAATCTCACAGGGTGATGGCACACATGAAACCCCAACCATCTGCCAGTGCACCACTCCTATCACTAAGCCAAACCTTTCTTTCCATGAGGACTCCCAAATCCAAGGGAATATCCCAAAACAAGGGTGTCCCTGGCTGAGCTTTGTCCTCCCCCGTGGTCCTACACCCCTGCTACCACCTGGGTGGTTTGCATCCTCATTTTCTGGCACCCAGAGGCTGGATGAGTCCCAACTCCTGCAGCACTCACCCTGATTTCCAAGGCAAATTCCCTGGACTTGCTTTCCCCTTCAAGTGATGCTGTGACCACCAGCTAAAGCAACAAGAAACGGGGTTTAAACGGCACCAGGGTGGAAAAATCTGGTGGAGAGGGTCTGGTAAATGAAGGATCACTTCTGGATAGGGGAATCCCTGATTTTGGAAATCGGCTCTCCTGATTTGGGGAAAATATGCACAGTTTGGCTGTAAATCTTCAAATATTGGATTCATGTGAGATAGATACCCATTGGTGCTGGCAGGGGAGGAATAGTGGGGTTGGAGATGGGCAGGTGCTGGCAGCACCAGATGAGATGCTCAGATGGGAGCAGGGATTCTGAAGATGCATCCAATGCATTTAAATTCAGGTTCCTACTTGGGAGTTTGGGGCTTCATTTTTCCACTTTCCCACTTTTAGATGCATTCAAAACATCTGGGCTGCATTTCCCAGGGCATGGATGGCCCTATGGAGAGCAGGCTGCTGCTCCAACCTCCGTTTGCATCTCTAATACTGATCACTGCTGTGATGTCTCAGGCTTCAGCGAGCACACACCACCAGCCTCAGCCCCCTGCCTCACACCATCCTCACACCCTTTCATTAACATTTTTATCCCCTTTAGAAGGTCTTTTCCTCTCGCTATCACTGATCCCTGTGTGGTGGCAATAACCCTCTGGGTCATCCGGCAGCATCCCGAGCTCAGCAGAAACAAGAAAGAGGAAAAATGGGGGAAAATCTTTTAATCTTTGAAGGAAGATGCTTTACATAAGGGCAGAGCTCTCACTCCAAGAGAAAGGAGGAAAACCTAAGCCTAAGTAACCAACTCTCGCTTAGTTCGATACGATCCTTTAATTACCTCTTTATTCTTGTGCTAAAGTTATACCTCAGGGAGGGGATAAAAAGGAGAAGCCAGATCTTTTCAGCTGTAATTACTGCAGTTTTGATGGGAATATCACCTCTGATAACAGCCCCTTGTGCACTCATCCCCGCAGCCTTTAAGGTATCCATGAGAAAATTAATCTGCTGGGTAAAGCCCTATGTCTCTGCCTCGGGAAAGGTTTTATTGGGGCACAAATGGGCTCCTGCAAGAAGAGAGGTTTGATTCCAGATAAAGGGGCAGTGATGGGCTGAAGGACACTCATCAGTTCTCCTCTTCTTGGGCTTTTGGCATCTCCTCCCCTGGCAGCCATCAGCACCAGCCCCTCTGCAGCCAGCCCAGGGGGTACCCAGGGGTTCCCAGACCTGTGTTGCCATGCCTCTGCATCCAGAGCATCCGACCCACCTCAGGAGGATGCAGGGGAGAGATTACACCAGGCTGGCATCCCCCTGGATCCCATTGCTCTGGTCTGTATCCAAACAGGAGGATTTGGTGATCTGGGGGGGGGGGGGTTAACTCAAAATTCCCTGTAGCAGGAAGGTGCTCTGAGCCCAGGGATGGGGATTCCCACAGGCAGCATCCCCTTGGCACTGCAGCAAGGAAACTGTGTCCCCATCCCCTCCTGGCTGCTTAGAGCATCTCACACATGACCCAACCATGCCAGTTCTCACTGCAGGGACTCACCCCAGTGCAAAGACATCCGAGTGCTTGGAGAAGGGCAGCTTGTCCTCCTCGGTGTCAGGAGAGAGCTGGCGGATGATCTCGGGGGCAAGGTGACACAACCACCCGTTCTGGATGCGCAGCTTGTTCTCCCGCCTGCAAAACATGGGCCTGAAGCCATGGCTACCAAAGGGGGGAACATCACCACCAGCGAGCAGCCCCCCAGCCCTCCCACCCTCTCCCAGTGGGAATTTAGGCCTGGTTTTCCCTATGGCATCCTTGCAAAGTCCGGCTTTAACCCTGCTGAGGGGAATGATGCCATTAGTGGATTTGTGCCTGTCTCTGCTGGGTCCACAGTTCTGGACCAGCTCTGGTTCAGACAAGCTGGGGATGGGGATGCAGGGTCTGCTGGGGACCTCGCTGTGACCACTACTTCAAAACACCTTGAAAGAGCAGGGACAGAGCATTACCTGGGGTAAATCCCACCAGCACTGACACCTGACATGACCCTGCTGTGATTTGAGCAGGGGTTTGGACTGGGGACCTCTAAGGGTCTCTTTCCAAGCAAGCCCATCCTATAAGAATGGCCTGAAAATCAGTGGGTTTAGGTGCTTGGCCCCCAGACAACGCCTCCAGCCCACCTTCATGTCCAGGCCTCTGATGCCATCACCCATGGGAGCAGCATGGCTTTATTATCACCAGCCCCTCAGTTAACCTCAGACATCATCTCTACCTCTCCAAGGTCCCCCTCTTCATAACAAATACATGAGGTTCTTTTGGCCAACAGCTGAGGATGGCATTGGCTGCTTCTTCATCCTTTATATCCTCCAGCAGGCACCTAGGATGCACCACTGGGTTAGACAGAGTCCCCAAGCAGGGAAATGGGGAAGGACTACCAGTGGTGTTAACACCCTAAGCAGCTTGATCATGTGTCCAAACCCAAATTCAGCAGCACACTTTAGCAGGAGGTAACAGAACCTGCCCCATGTCACATCAGACAAGAGAAGGAAGAGCTCGATGACTTGTATCAAGGAATTCCTCCCTCTTTGTGCTTTGATGCACTCCCAAAGACTGTGATGAACACAGGTAAAGGATGGCTGTGGGGTCATCTGTGCTCCTGGGACCAAAATCCCAGAGCTGAGGTCCCAGGGGACACCATTGAGGTATCTCCATTCCCCTCCAAGGCAGGATGATGAGCCCTCACTGCAAACACTGTCTCCTTGGCTGGCTTTCCCCCCATGGCTGCTTACACACAAAGTGCGCGATCCAAGACAGTGCAGTCTGGATCCTCTTAGCCAAAAAGCCATCCCCATCCCCAAACATACCCCCCTTGGCTCTGGCAGTGACCAGGGGAGGATGCTCTCCCTAGGGAAGGATACTGCCGGGCCAGGGCATCACTGATTAACCTTCCATGCCCCCTCTGGGGTCTCGGATGCTCCTCACCCTGCTGTGCCACAGCCATGGCCGCAATCAGCAGCTTGGGCAAGGCACAGACCCTAAGGCCCCAGGAGCTGCAGGAGAGAGCACTTTGGCACAGGGGGGGGAGGCTTTCAGCTCCCACCACCATCCCCAGCCCTGTGAGGCTCTTAATTACGAGCTGCCATTAAGCATCAAGGCAATTAGAGCAGAGGCGGAGGAGCTGCTCGTCCCTCCCTGTGTCTATGGTCTGTGTCCCCAGGCAGGCAGCGGGGAGCACTCAGATCTGCTCCGCCACCATCAGCAAGACCAGGATTGCACCCAGGGCTTTTAGTTTTGCTCACTCAAGTCTCCAAGTGCTGTGGTATCCCACGAGTGGCTTTCAGGCTGGCCTCAGGATGCTCTGGGGACCAAATCTGGCTCCAGAGCTCCCGGGCATGTACACCCGAGCAAGTAGCTATGGGTTTCTGAGCTTCCATTAATGAAGGCTGAGCTTTAAAGCAGTTCCAAACCTGGTTCAATCGCAGCAATTTGAGGTTTCATGGCCAAAGTTTTCCTGAATTCATAACTGACCTGGCCACTTCCACTAGCAGAAAGCAGCACAACCAGCTGAGCATCTTCTAAAGCCACTGAAGGACAAACCAGCCCCAAGGCAAAAGCAAGAGCAGAAGAGCTTTTCCAACTACTTAAAACCCACCTCATACTCCTCATAATTACAGAGCAGCCCTTCCAAGACAAAAGAACATTTAAATAAAGGAGAAATACATCTGATTTCACCAGGAAAAGACACTGGATTAGGAAGTCTCTGCAGAGAGCGTTTTAGTTGTGGTAGTCATCTCAGTGTTCAGCAGCACAAGTGTGTCAGAGCACAGATGGCCACTGCAAACTCCTTGTGTTGGATGCTCTCATGAACTGAAGGTGAGCCTGGTCTAGGAGAATGAGGAGGATTTGTAAGCCTTGTCTTTAAGCCTAGAGAAAGCAGGTCAGTTTGGAGTTCTCATTCACATCTGAAGCAGCATCACCATCATCAACTTGACCTGTAATTTTTGCTCCCTTCTCCATCCAGGCTTGCCTGCACAAGCCTCTGCGGACCCCAGACTGGACTTTATCTTTCTTCTTCATCTGCAAGAAGCCAGAACCAGCAGAAAACCCTCCCTGAAAAGGGGAACCAGCCCTGCAGACATGTGCTGCTTCCAAATCACAGTGACCGGGGAGTGCAGATCCCCAAAGCCTTCTCTCAGCTCCCCACCAGCAGAAGACGTGTGGGTCACAAGCAGAGCAGCCACACTGAAAGCTCCTTGAGGCAGAGATTTCCCCATTTTCTCTGTTTTTCTAGCAAACCACTGCTCATTTCTGTCCAGCCTTGTATTTCTGACCATTCTTCCTCACATGAGTAGTCTCCTGACCTTTACCCATCAAATGATACCCCAGTCTTGAGCAGAGATGGCTGTGCATTGGTCCACTCCATTGGATACCCCATTTCCAAGCATCTCATCTCTTGGTTTATCTCCACAGCATCTCTGACCTTCACAGCAAAGGTCTCTAGCAAAATTTGGCCATTCTTGCCCAAATCCTTCTCCTACTGCCGCAATGAGCTTCAACCTCATCCTGGCAGGACCTCAGTCCCAAATCCCCTGCCCAGCTGCTAAACCAGAGCTGAAACCACTTCTCCACTGCAGGGAGAGCAGCAGCACTTCTGGATTTCTCAGCCTTCCAGAGCTTTTGGCCAAGTCTGTGCTAAAACCAGATGATATTTATACAAATAGAAGGGAAAGGCTGCCTGCTCAGCTCACCATGAGAGGCATGGGACAGAGGCATCTGTTCCCTTTGCCTCTAATCCTTTGGCCTCATCCCATGGGAACTAGAAATACATACATATATAACTTTTAAGATGCATTTTATCCCCTGAGCAGCTTCACTGTAAAGTGATGATCAGCCACAACAACCTTTCCAGTGACAAAGCCCATCATGAGGGGTGATGGAGACCGAAAGGACCATATGAGTGGAGACAATGAACACTTCAGTCCAGTACCTGATGTTCTGGATTCTGTACTGTGAGGGTGCTGAGGCGCTGGCACAGGGTGCCCAGAGAAGCTGTGGCTGCCCCATCCCTGGCAGTGTTCAAGGCCAGGTTGGACACAGGGGCTTGGAGCAAGCTGCTCTAGTGGAAGGGGTCCCTGCCTGTGGCAGGGGTTGGAGCTGGAGGAGCTTTAAGGTCCCTTCCAACCCAAACCTTTCTATGATGCTATGACCAGAAGGTGGGTACCACGCTGCAGGAGAAGAAACCTGCCCGAGCTGCTGGCTCTGACAACACCAGGCTTGGCCTGCGCTGCTTCCAGCACAAAGGGTTTAGTGCAAAGCTCTCTGCTGCTGGGAGAAGCAAGCAACACACTTCTTTAGTTTTAACAAAATATAGAATATAAGCTTTGGTCTTTTTTCCCCTCTTCTGTTTCCTTCCCCCCCCACACTTTGCTTTTCTTCCTTTCCACAACTACAGAAACCCTTTGCCCTGCCGAGCCTACAGCTGGAAAACCTCCCACAGCACTGGGAAAAAACACCCAAACAAACATTTAATAAGGCACATTTACCAAACGGGCTTGATTCCAAACCTCAATAATGTCACAGCACTATGAATGTCCCGACCTTGGCTCTCATTTTCTCTGGGTCTTGCTCCAGTGTCAGCACAGAGACTGCGCCCAGATGTCTGCAGCACCCAAAAGGTCACTGGAGTGGTTGGGGACATCCATGGGGACATCAGTGCGGGATGCTGTGCTGGCTGCACCACTCATCGGCCCAGGGGCAGGAGATGAACCAGATCCCAGGGGATTATATAAGGATATATAATATATCCCTAAGGAAAAGCCAAGAAATGAACTGGCTTTGCCAGCCCAAGTGAAACAGAGCCCAAGGAGCATCTCCCAGAGTGCTTCGGCCACAGAAATGATGCATCCCATTGGGATGGGAAGAGGCTGGGTCCAAGAGACCCTGCCCAGGGCCAGCTCCTGCCCCTCTGAACCAAACTTGCACAGGCTCGCACGCAGCATCATGCCCCTTCCAGCAATCAAAAGCAACTCTGCCTTTAAACACCAGGTTTAAAACCCAAACAAAATCAAATCAAAACAAGCTGCAAATCCTGCCCCCACGAAGTGGAGCAGTTGGGTTTCACCACTTGGTGCTGAGCCCAGACCCACCTTGCTGCAGAAACCCCAGCCCTGCTCCCGCCATCCCTCTGGGGCTTTGCTCTCCAAACCCCACAACGGTGCTGAGCATGGAGCTGCATTTCAAAGCAGCATCACTTGTGGGGCAGAGAGGGCTCTGCAGGAGCTCTTTTCCCAAAGCATTTCTCCTCAAAAGCAAACTCCTGGGAGGTGGGATGGTGAAATCCAATGGCAGCCCCAAGACACGTCCTCATGTCTAGCAAGACTGCAGACCCAGAAAGGCACTTGCAGGGGAGGTTTTGGGGTTCCCTTTGCACGTTTCCAGCTCAAAGGGTAGCTGTAGGGCATGGGGAGGGATGCTGGTATTTCCACCAAGCCATGTCCTACCTGCCCGCTTGGAGAACTCCCGAGATGCTGAAGAGGCCAAAGTCTGTGATCACCACCTTCCCGTTGTCATAGAAAACGTTTTTTGACTTGAGGTCCTTGTGAAGGATCCCCTTGGCATGCAGGTAGCCCATTCCCTAGGATGGAAGAGAGAGAAAAACACCCCAAAACTGAATGAGCAGCACAGACAGAATAGCACCAGGGCAGGGGCAGCCCCACGATTGCCAAGATGGGGAGAGCCCAGATGGCGGAGCAAGTCCAGAGGAGGCCACAGGGATGCTCAGGGGCTGGAGCAGCTCCTGTATGGAGCCAGGCTGAGCACACTGGGGCTGTTCAGCCTGGAGAAGAGAAGCTGCGTGGAGACCTCAGAGCAGTTTCCAGTGTCTGAAGGGGGCTACAAGGATGCTGGAGAGGGACTCTTCATCAGGGACTGGAGTGATAGGACAAGGGGTGATGGGTTCAAACTGAAAGAGGAGATGATAAAGTTAGATCTAAGGCAGAAGCTCTTCCCTGTGAGGGTGCTGAGGCGCTGGCACAGGGTGCCCAGAGAAGCTGTGGCTGCCCCATCCCTGGCAGTGTTCAAGGCCAGGTTGGACACAGGGGCTTGGAGCAAGCTGCTCTAGTGGAAGGGGTCCCTGCCCGTGGCAGGGGTTGGAACTGGAGGAGCTTTAAGCTCCTTTCCAACCCAAACCATTCCTTGACTCTATGATTCTATCCCTGTGCCACAGCAGCACATCCACGCTATTGAGCTAGGACTTGGCCACAACCAGAGGCTGCACATCCCCAAATGTCCCTGCAGATGTCCGGGCGGGTGTCTCTGGCTTGGGACAGGCATCACTTGGTGCTCACGGAGGGCGATGGGCTGCGACAGCACCACTTGTCTTCCTGATTAATGGCTTACGCAAGGAAAATTAGCAGCAAACCAAACTGGCAGTGCTTTCCTGAGATCCTCTGCTGGGAAATTGATGATGATGATGATGATGATGATGTTTTCCCTTTCCAGACTGGGAGCAGAGGGTAATAAGTCAAATCTCTCCATCCCCGCTACCGAGTCATTAGTGCTTCCTATGTGCACACCGACACCATTAGCATGGAAACAAGCACCTCGCAGGAGTCCTGCCTTGATTCCTTTCCCTGAGGAAAAGCTGCTTGGTGGTTAATTAAAATTATTGCTAATGATGCAAAAAGAGGCCATGGGTGGGAAATCCAGCTCCCCTGCACTGCCTGAGCATCAGCAAATCAAGCCGACTGCCGACAGCTCCGTGTGGAGGGCGTTCAGCTCCATGGGATAACCAGCTCTGGGAATGGGGAGGGTGATGAAAGCCATCTATCCCCACTTCAGCAGGGCTTTTGATGCTGTCCCACTTTTCATTCTCAAGCAGACTAGGGGAATCTTGGGCTAGAGAAAGCTATTGAAGGATAAATGCCAAATGGGCCAGCAAACTGTTGCTTAAGAGTGAATATCAGCTGTCAGTGACATAGGGGGATTTATTCACTGGATTTCCACAGGGGTCCATCCTAGGCCTGATCTTTTCACATGTCATCATTAACCACGCCGGCAGTGGAACAGGGATGTATTTGTAAGTTTGCAGACAATGTGGAGCTGGGAGGAATGATCCAAATTCAGAATGATGTGGAAAAAACGGGAAAGCAAACGGAAAACCCCACAAATCCTCAAATGTAAGCACCTGGGATATGGGGGGAAATTCAGAAGGCACCAAGCACTCAGCAGCAGCACAAACCCACTCCAGAGTGGGAAAGGCTGGTGGCAGCCAGGGACAACATGCTGCTGGGGATAGCAAACACCCCAACTCATCAAGTAATGGGGGTTTAACTTCACCCCTCGGTGCTCGAATCCCAAAGTGCCTCTGCTAAGGGATGCTGGAGGAAGGATTCAGTGCTGCGGCTGGCCCTGAGGTGCCACCGCTGCAGCCGGATGCCAGGACCATTCCAGCCACTGGGATTAATTAGGGGTCCCTGTGTCCCAGCACATGAAATACTGATGAGGTTTAAAGTTCTGCTTTAAAATGTCACCTTCACTGCCACCTTCACACAGTGCCCGGGAAAAGCATTTCAATGTGTGAGCCTGTTCCTCCTGCAGCGCCTCGAGCAGCCACGAGGCAGGATGTGGCCCAGCACCATGAGGATGCTCTGCAGCCCCCTCCCATCACACAGGAGCTCAAAGCAGGCGCTTTGCACCTATGGATGGGAACACGTCCCCCGTGCAATCATCAAACGCAGCGAGCCTTTGCCAAAGGTATTTCTCAGCGAGCCCAAATCCCTCTCTTTGCTCCACGGGGTATTGTGCAGATCCCACTGCAAATTCCAGCCCCGACACCTTCACCCTTGGGATGAGCTGTAAGAAAACACTCGCAGCCCAGTAACGCCTCAATTTCCTTGGCTGGCCAAGGAGAGCGAAAAGCCAGCTCCCTCTGCCGGCCCCGCTTCCCAAGGAAACCAGCTTCCACCTCCGGAGCAGCATGGAACAACGAGAGCCCTTGCACTCACTAATCCAATCAGCTTAACGACCCTCCTGCATGCAGGGACTCGAAGGATGAAGTCAAACGATGTGCACCAAGCCCAATCACAGCAAGTCACTGGGGTTTTCCCTCGGTTCTCCACGCCAGCCAACATCAAGTCCACCAAAACATCCTTAACATCTGCTGGGGGTTAACATGGGGAGGTGGGAAGGTGGAAGCTCTTCCCTGTGAGGGTGCTGAGGCGCTGGCACAGGGTGCCCAGAGGAGCTGTGGCTGCCCCATCCCTGGCAGTGCTCAAGGCCAGGTTGGACACAGGGGCTTGGAGCAAGCTGCTCTAGTGGAAGGTGTCCCTGCCTGTGGCAGGGGTTGGAGCTGGAGGAGCTTTAAGGTCCCTTCCAACCCAAACCAGGCTGGGATTCTATGAGTTTAAGGAATTTACTTTAGAAACAGCATACACTTTGGGTGTAAACAGAAGCAAAATAGGTAATCTAACAAGGAACAACATAAGCAGAAGCTGGGGAGCAGCACTGTTCGGGACATTGCAGAACATATTCTGTTTTCTAACATGGATTTGAGTATTTAAGGGGTTTAAGACCTGCCAGAAAAACTTCGTCCTTTTCTCTTTTTCTCCACAGAAAGATGCTAAACATGAGCTCAGCCCCAGATGACCTGGTCTTGCTGTGGGCCAAAGGGATTGGCTGACCTTGGCCAGTATCATGAGTCCCATGGTAGGACACTTGCCAAACGCTTCAGGCATCATTTGATGTTAAGTACGTTTGGAATCACAGCACAGCCCTCCTCTGGCAGACAGCTTAACACCTCTTGAGGAAATGAGCCGTTGCAGACACTCGATGGGAAGCTCTGATGGCTCAGGACCCAACTTCCCAGCCACTTGACCCCGCCACGTGAGGATGCTCCCCAGCCTCTATTTATACGGTCACGTCTGAAGTGTTGGAGATGCTCTCTGAGTCATCTCTATGAAAGGAAAAGCTCTTTTAGCTCTGAAAAATGTGTGTGTTCTGCCTCGTGGCACACGCAGCCTCCTGCCACGAGCCCCACGGCACTGACCCCTCCGGCGCCTGGGCTGCAGGGATGCGATCACTACGGAAACCTCCGAGCAACAGCAGGTCATTGGGTTTTCCCCAAGAGGAGGGGAATATCCCACCAGCAATTCACTCACAGTAGCAAAGCTGGGCTTAAACACCTGCACTGCCAAGGGGATGTGGACAGGATGAGTCCCAGGCTTACTATGGGGAGCCCATGGGAAGCCTTGGTGCCAGCCCAGGGGAAAAACTGGGATGAGGGAGGTCTAAGAGACCTGGATTTTAAAGCCAAAGGGGGTTACCCTGCCCTTGGTAATTCTTGGATCCTTCACTCCAGGGCTTGGCTGGATCCTGATCCCCATTGATGCCAAGCTGTCCCACTTCACACCACAGCACAGCACAGCATACCTTCACGATTTCTTGTGCTATCTGCCTTGTCTTGTTGACATCCAGGACAATTTTGGCATCTCTCACCACCGAGTAGAGGGTCCGTCCTTTACACAGGCTGAAAGAGAAGGAAAAGGGAGAAGATAAAAGCAGAGTTTATAGCACACACCCCCCCCATTGAGAAACATCCCCAAAGTACAAAGGCAGTGGCTGTGGCTGGGAACTATAAATAACCACAGGAGCTTTGGCTCCATCTCAAGGCAGATTGAAGGTTTGGGATGGAACCTGGGGGCTCTCCCCATTGCAGCACTGGGAGATGCGTGCTGGTGCCATCACCGTGGTACCGAGCCCCACAAGGGGTAACCCCGGGCTGGTCCCCAGCTCTTCCCCACATCCCATCCCCGCAGGAACCACCTGGTCCTCTTGCTTCAGAGGGGTTTTGTGCAAAACTGGCCGCAGCTCCCGCCTCTTCCCTCGGAGGATACAAAGCTCACAGATGTAATGAGTCAAAAGAGGAAAGACAGGGAGCAGAATGCAACCCCCACCGAACCCCATGCACTGTACAACGTCCTCCAATTTTCCTTCTCTCGTACCAGTTACAGTAAAATCTATTTACAGAGCCTTCATTACCAAAGGCAGCTGGAAAGGGGGGGGGGGGATATAAACCAATTAAAAATATATTGACATTTGAATATCATAATGGAGAACGTGGGTGGCTGCTGCCTCGACTCGCGCCCACAAAAATAAGGGCTCCTTTTTGCTTTTCCCTATCCACCCACACTCATTACAGGCAACTTTGGAGAGATGAGGCTGGATACCTGTGCCTGGGAATAAAGAGCCTGACACATGTCTCGTTAAAGAGGCTTCAGCGACCGCACATCTTCATCTGATCCTGGGCTAGTTAACGAATAAAAAGCTATGGGTTTTAATTCCTCTGCTCCCCACACTCAGCTCCACCACCCCCCTCCTCACCCATCTCCTCCAGCACTGGATTTGTCCCCTGGGAGATCAATAGGGTTTGCTCCTTTTGGGATGGAAATAATCAGCCTAATCTGTGCCTCCTTGCAAAGGATGAGGAGTATCACACTGAGCTGGCCCGGGTTTGCCTGGGTACCATGTTGGTCAGACAGGGAGAGGGGATGGTTCAGACCCCAGGCATGGATGAGGGGGAAGAGGAACACCGAGGGCAGTGATGCTTGAGCACAGCCCTGTGGAGAGGTGAGCTGCCCAGCCCTGCAGCACCATGGGCTTGATGACCTTAAAGGCTGGATAACCATAGAATGGTTTGGGTTGGAAAGGACCTTAAGATCATCCAGTTCCAACCCCCTGCCATGGGCAGAGACACCTCATTCTAGACCATGTCACCCAAGGCTCTGTCCAACCTGGCCTTGCACACTGCCAGGGACGATCTTAAAGGTTGGACCTGATGATCTTAAAGGTCTTTTCCATCCTAGCTGATTCTATGATTCTGTGAACGTCCCCCAGGTTGCAAATCTGGAGGAATCGGGAACACAACCTGATGGTAAAGTCCTGCTTTCATTTTGACCCCAAAGCTGGCTCAGAGCAGGATGATGAGGCAAAAACCCCAGGCAGGCTGTGCCACGCTTTCCCTGGGGACACTGAAAAAGGCAGCAGCAATCCCAGGGTGTCCCACATCATTACCTGTCAATAAGGTCCCAGTGAGCTATTAACCCCTCAAAGCAGGGATGTTAGAGGCCAAAAGCTCCTTATCCCTGCATTGGCAGCACAGTTTTCAAGTCAAACAGCAAAGCAGGAATGGGACCAGACCCATATCTCGTGGGTTTTGGAAAGACAACAGCATCCTTCTACTTTGCCATGGGTTGTGTTGGAAATAGCCTTGCGAATGAGTGGCAGTGGGGATTTTAAGGCATCTTCATACCCATGCAACTGCGTTCTAGTAATGGTTTTCCTTGCTCAGGTGCCTCAGCACATCCCTGAACCCACCAGCTGGGCTGCAAACCCAAGGCACCCACAATTACAGACATGATCTTCCTCTAAATCAGCTGCTCCCCATCTCCTGCAGTAGTTTGGCTGCAACCAAATCTGAACTTGTCGGAACATTGGGATCCAAGCCCTCAAACTCCCACTTGGAAAGCAAATCACTTGGAAGTGATCAAGAAAACCCTTGGGTTTCTGCAACTGGGATTAAAGGGTACAAAACAACGACAAATACTCATTCTCTTTTCGCCACCTTTAAAGTATTCAAGGGATTTGCACTAATCTGCTCCATAAACCTGCAAAGCTCCAAGCTCTGCAGTGCAACAGGCGTTCTGCACCTCCCATGACCTGCCTGTGCACAAAGGAGTTCCCCTCAGCCCCCCCTGCTCCCCAGGCAATGCTTGTTTCCCTCCAGAGAAACCCATTGCAGAAAGTGGCTTGTGGTCTGCGTTAGTCACGAATCAACATTGCACATGCAATGAATAGAGCAGAACCGGGCTTGATTTCAGCCCTGAAGTGAGTTAAGATCAGCTGTTTTCCTGGAAAAGGGTTGGTTAAGAGAAAAATCCTTCCATTTCTGCCCATCTGCGCTGCTGTGCTAACCCCAGGAGCAGAGCCTGCAGCCCTTTTCCGATGACATTCCCATCTCTCCACTTCATTTACTGAGGGAGTGCGTTAAAGGAGGCAGTGGATGCACTCGGTGCGAGGTCTGACACGAGGACAGCAGCCACTGCTCAGAGCCACGGTGGTGGCAGCAGCCCACGGTGAAGCGCGGTGGGCATGGGACGTGCCAGCACCGCTCCTCACACCCCGGGAGAGCCACCGAGGCAGCCCAGGTGCCTCACACCTCCTCCCAATGAATAACCCCTCCGTATCAATCCAAACAGCGACCGCCGCGCCAGTATGTGCAGCGTTTTCTTGCCGGATAAGGAGCTGCCAATGCAGAGATAAAGCCCTGTCGATACCTATTATGTAGCACCTGAGCCCATTCAACCACCACCTGCGGAACCTTTTCATGGCAGAGCTCCACAATTTCACTGCTTCTCGTTCCTCATCTGCCGTCAATTGCTCCCCATTGGGGCAGGAGCAGCAGGCACAAAGCACCACATCATCTTCTACCTTCCCACTTCAAGAGGTCTATGCCGAACCATGGCATTGAGGCACCCATCCGGCTGCGAGCAAGCAGGGCTGTGGATCACAAGGCCAGAAACTGCCTACACTTGACACCAGAAACAAAGGCAGACGATTTGCATCTTCAGATGGATCAAGGCTCATTCACCACTCAAGTACGTATTCAGAGATAAATACCTGTCTTCTCCTAAACCTCTCCATCCCAGCCATCAGCAGAGCATGACACGTGCCCTGGTACCACGTGGTGAGAACAGCCCCACTGGGTGGCTTGGGAAGATGTAAAGGTCCTTCCCGTGGTCCCCAGCAGCCAGGAGTGCACCTCAACCCATGGCACAACCTCAGCCCCAGGACAATCCCAGCCCCATCCCGCTGCAGATGCGACTCTCTATTCAAAATGAGTTCTTGAAGTGTTCAGCCAAGCAAGCCAAATCCCAAATTGCTTTATAAACACTCTGCATTTCACCAACGTGGGCTGAAGACATCAGCAACGGGAGCAAAGCCAAAGCGACGTGAAGGGGAGCAATTTGGGAGGGATGAGTGAGGAAGAGCTGGAGCACTGCCTCTTGCTGATTTTCCTATTTGATGTGAAAACAACTTCATCCCTCCTTCATCCATTGGGGGTTTCTTCCCCCTCATCAGTAGTGAAGATCATCATCCCTACAGACTATCATCACCTCGATAGGGTTGAAGACCTCAGCCTGGCTCAGAAGCAGAGCAGAGCTGATGGTACAGCGCTCGCATGCAGGTCACGATGCCATTACTTCCCAGGGTTTTGTGCTTTTCTTGCCTCTGCCCAACCATCCACATAAATGCCCATTAAATTAAATAGGCTCATTTGAACACCCCAAAGTGATGCTAGTCCCCAGAAAGCTCATTACTTGCTAGTATGTTGATTTATGGGCAACCAGCTCAGATACCATGGTGATAGCCGGCAGGCTGCACCCAGGGGAGACACACAAAGAGTGAGAGTGGGAATTCATAATAAGTGCTTTAATATAAAAATACCTCTGCTAGCAGGTTACATCTGTGCTGCAGGAAAGACAGCGCAAAAGGGGGGAGCTGCTCGGGTGCTTCCACGATCCCCAGCAGTTTACTGACTTCCAGTGCTTCACGGAGAAGGAAATCTTTGGGGAATATTAAGATACAGCCACAGCAACCAGAGCTGCTGAGCTGGGCCTTGTTTGATTTAGCTTGAGCAGGACCAGCCGCAGCAGAGAGGGGAGGAATGAGTTCTGCCCGTGCCCGAGTTGTCTCAGAACTCTTTCCACCCAGCAGCTTGGTTTTCCTCCGTCACCAACATCTGGCAATGTTTTGCAACCAGACAGCCACCAAATGGGAACTGAAACCAGGCTGGAAGAGCAGCAAAGGGAAGGGTTTGGGTTAATTTTATCCCTGGGCTTCTTTTTCCTCCAAATCAATAAGAAATATCGCACCCCTGACGCACGCTCTCCCTGCTACGCCAGCGCGAGCGAAGCAGAGCGGTGCCATCAGCCAGCTCACGCTTCCCAAGCCCTCTGCATCTAAATGCCACCCCAGGACAGCGGGGACAGGCCTGGGACAACAAGGGTCACACTGACGTGAGCTGCGATGAGTTTGTTAGGTCTCGGTCCAAAGAGAAGGCTGGCATGCGTCAGACTCGCACCTATACATACATATATATACACACATATATATTGCTCCCTAATTAAAAGCTCGGGGGTGGAAGGCTTGGCTGGCTCATGGCCAGCTATTCGCAGTGGGATGCTATCAGCACCCAGCATCGTTGGGGCCCCCAGTTCTACTGCGGGGTATTCAGGACTGGTTTCACTGGTATTCAAACCACCACCAAAACCTGCAGGTGAAGTGAAGCAGCACTTCCCTGAGCCACACATACCCAGCACGGAAACACTTCAGCCCCAGGGCTACAACTGCCCTTCCATTTCCCTCCTCTTCGCTGCACCCACGGGCAAGCAGGGGGAGACCTTCCCTTCCGCTCCGCTCCCATCACTTCCAACAGCAGCAACCTGTGGTTTCCTTCCTCCCCAGATC